TTTTCAACCTTTCAACTGTTTCCAAAAGTTCACAGAAATCTCTCTTGAGCAGTTCTGACTGCTGTTCCCGATTATCATTCTTCCCCTACGTGGATGATAATCCCTTTTGCAGTCTTGTGCTTCAGAATTTCCTCAAGTTATTTGTTTAAATCAGAAACTGTTGCATGAGAGAAGCAGTATGGCATTGTAAAATTCATGTGTAATTCCTGATTATTGATTCTCCTACAACTGGTGTTCTTATCTCAGGTGCGATTGGAGCAGAAAGCCGCTGTCTAGTCAGCCTTGAGCCTCAATTTAATGCAGAAATGAAGAGAAAAGAACGTTTATGTCATCGGTTATCACGTTTATTTTCAACAGTAGCTGGAGTGGATTTACGGGACTCCACCTGCATTATGCTGTGAGAGTCCACAATGAAGTGGTCCTGAGTGATCCGGCAGTTCTAGTCGAATCACAAGTAACTTTGTTGCAAGAACTGCAATTTTTTGTAGCAGTCTGTGGCAGTTTGTGCAGCAGTGAAATTCTGAATTAATCTGATCCAGAGGCATTTTTACAGCCATGTTATCCTGTCTCAGGAATGTAAGTAATTGGTTGGAGAGGATTGTTTGGTCGATAAATCCCCTCTTGTTGATAAAGCTATATTCCAGAAAGTTTGAAGATCCAAAGTTGATCTTCAAGCTGTGTCGTTTGAGCACTGTGCTGATAGGCTCAAGTTAAAATTAAAGTATAAATATAAAAGCAAGAGTGCAAAGAGCGGAGCAGTAGGCAAAGATGTCCGAACAGTAGCAAAGCAAGAAGAAATTCTTCAGGACTCATTTAGTGTTATGTAATCATCTGGTTTTAGCCAGGTTTTAGTTAGACAAAGCGCATCTAGCTTTAGATCGTAATGTTCAATGATTTGAGTTTTTTTATCTTTATGAACATCAATTCGATTTTTACCTTTAAATGTGTTTGGGAGTTTTTCATGTTTAGAGGGTTGAGGAACAGAAACAGTGTCTATGTCAATATATCTAGGTGGCTCTATGTGCTGAAGATTATCTGAGTTCATTAAACTGTGGAGGCTAGCAGTCATTTGTTATTCTGTGGGCACCACTTTGACATCCAGCCATTGAGTGAAAACAGTCGGCTGTGGAACTCATCACCACAAGCGGGCAGGGAACCAGAGCATATTAAAGTAACTCTTTAATATTACATTTAATGATCTCCGTCTGATGTAGTCGAACATCATTAGCACCGACGTGATCTTGCTGAACTTATGTTTAGATTAAGCCAACACTTTTAAATTTGACATGATGTCAGGCGCTCTGGCCCCCAACTGACATTTGACTGTATTGGCTTGTGTTTCTATTTGCACATTTTTTACTATGGAGTTGCCAATTACCAGGGCACTTTCATCAGGTTTCTCAGTAGGTGCGTCACTGAGGGGGCTAAACCTGATGTTGGAATGGAATTACAGTGTTTTCTCCCGCCTCGATATGCTCTCACAGTAGCCCAGCCATCGCTCTGTGATGATGCAACAACCAGAGAAATGTGCATACCATGCAAGGCTAGTCACATCCAAAACCTTATATAGAGACATAGCACTCTTGCTATCCTCAATTAAATCTTAAATGTTTGTCTCTAATTCTGAGATCTTCTCTGTCAGCCTATTTCCCTATATCACATGTAAAGCCCTTGTTGTTAACAGAGAGAGATACACTAATCATGTTTCAGGAAATACATGTGAGAAGAACAGGAGAAACCTGGCTTAAAAAGAATAAAGCAGTAAACAGTAAATATAAAAAAAAAAATATATATATAAAATAATCGGTGACACATTATAATAACTACATACTATGAATCATTTATTAAGCATTAGCAAATAGTGAATTCATTATCTGTTAAGCATTAATTCTACATTAATAAACATTAGTAAGCAGTTTATAACTGCAGCTACAAATGCAGTATTCTTGACTTACAACATATTTATAATGTGCTTAATAATTGTATTTTCATACTTTGTTAATGATTTATTTTTTCATTACTAAATGAAGTATTGCATTATTTACAAACCAGTTATTTAGGCATAGTTGGTGATTTTTTAAGATAATTCAGAATGAGTTAGTAAATGATTAATAAACTATTGAAATCAACATTTATATATCTTAGTATTTAAGCATATACTAATAGTTAACTAGTATGTTAATAAATGCTTTATTAACTCAACTTCATCCAGTTTTGTGACCTAATCTAAAGTGAGAACTACTTATGCTTTATAAATGCCTTATAAATGACAATTAAAGAGTCAGTTAAATTTTGAAAAGGAAAAAAGTACATAAACAAAATTATTCATTTCTATTCGTTTAAAGATACACAAATCAAACTGTATCAAATGAAAAGTAAATATGTGCAACCTGATCTAAAATAAAATTACTGTACAGTTTAAACATTGCATCCTTTTATATTGTTACATTTTTATATTGTTGTTGATTTATCCAGTTTTATCCTGTATTTTGACACTCCTGTTGTTCAGCAATGTTTAATATTTACAGTAATTTTACTTTTTAGATAATATTGCAAAGATTATTCTTTGTTCATTTGATACAGAGCCTTTAATTGTCATTTATAAGGTATTTATAAAGCATAAATAGTCCTCACTTTAGATTAGGTCACAAAACTGCATGAAGTTGAGTTAATAAAGCATTTGTTAACATACATAGTAACCATTAATATATGCCTGAATAATAAGATATATAAACGTTGATTTCAATAGTTTATTAATCATTTACAAACTCATTCTAAATGATCTTAAAAACCTCCAACTACTCTTAAATACAAATGGTTTGAAAATAATGGAATACTTCATTTAGTAATGAGAACTACATCATTAACAAAGCATAAAAGTACAATTATTAAGCACAATATACATGTGGTTGTAAGTCAAGAATACAGCATTTGTAGCTGTAGTTATAAACTATTTACTAATGTTTATTAATGTAGAGTTAATGCTTCACAAGTTATGAATTCACTAGATGTTAATGCTTAATAAATGGTCCATAGTGTGTAGTTATTATAAAGTGTTACCAAAAAATCTAATAAAACCAAAGAGCATCTCAAACCTAGCACCTTAAAATACCTGTCAGGCAATCCCAAATTAACATATCTCACAGTTTGCTATGGCAATGTTGTTGTCATCAACTTTATAATACCTCCAGACTGCAGACATACCCGCACTTTCCGCTTCAAGCTGTTTCTGTGTTCTACTTTGCGAACATTTAACCCATAGTGTCTTTGCATTAGAGTGATGAAAACGGTCTAACTCTGTGCCACTGAAAAACAATAAATGTGTTAAAAAATAATGAGAATATTAGAGGTGTGAACCTACACTGGTCTTACGGTTCGGTTCGGTTACGATCATCATGCCATCGTTTCGGTTCAATTCGATATCTCGGTGCATTAACGATGCTTTCCTTACACAGTTTTATATTTTACTCCACTGCACAGCAATTCTTCTATTAAAATGTATATTTTTAAAACACATTATGTATGTATTTGTAATACAGCATTGTCCTTTAATACAAGTAGTCATGTATATGAACTGTACCTTTAATTTTACCTGCTCAAAGAAAACATTTTTTTTTAATGCACCTGTGGAGAAAACTTGCTCTGCAGACAAGCGCTTGTGTCTTGATCCACAAGAATTGCTGTAACAGCTGAGAGGAGAGGAAACGTCCTGCAAATAGGTCAAAGGGGCCAGATAGGGAGAAAGAAATCGAGTTTAGTTTTATTTTCTCCATGGGAGTAAAAATAGGGGCTTCTAATGTGTCAGTGAATGGCTGTCCAGCAAACACACGCAATGACTTATGCAGAGTTTATGTGTTTTAATTACCCGTGGTTTCCTCTCTCGCCATAGTATTCTACCACGACATAGAGCACATATGAGATAAGTGACTTCATTACATAATACCTGATTATGATCTATTACTGAACCGATTCCAAATTGTCCGCGACTGCATACATATTTTCGAGTCCTAATCGGGAGGTAACATCTGATTCTGATAGAGTCTAAAACCGTATGATCAGGCCCAATATCCGATCACATAATCGGATCTGGACATCCCTACTTACTACTGCAGTATATTGAGTATTGAGTGAGGGAGCTGGAGCATGTGTATGAAATGAGCAATAGGCACTAAATGGAGAGAGAGAGAGAGAGAGAGAGAGAGAGCAGAGCACCCACACAATACGATTTACAATGTAGTTTAAAAGGTGCAGTTAGGCACGAGTAAGCAAATAAACTGTATGACACGTTAGAGAGAACAGGCACGAGGTAGCAAACTAGAAAGTGAAAGCAAAAAAAGTTAGGAATGAGTAAGTAAATGAACTGTTTTATGCACTTAAGAGAAAACAGACGTGCATAAGCAAACAAACTGGAAATTAATAAATAAAGTGAAAAGCGCAAGCAAGAGTTTGAATAATAAGTACAACAGTGGGCTGTTTACATATAAGCTGTGATGCTGTGATCTTGGAAAGATTTCAAATTTAAGAGCTAGTAATTGATGTCATGTGCTGTTCAGACCAGCATACGACCAGCAAGGGCTTAGCAAAAACCAGCAAAGGACCAGCAGGAACCAGCATAAAAATATTACTAGAATATACAGGTTTGTTTTTGGTTGTTTGTTTGTTTTTCTTTTTCTAGCAAGGGCAGCAGCTCTGGGCATATGTGTTATTTAACACAAATAATCGGTCAGCACAATACATTAAGGGCGACATGGTCCAAAAAAGGAAAAAAGTTTGGTGTAAATTATCTTATATATGTTACTTAGTTGTACTTTGTTTTAAAGGGCCTTAACAGCCAAACTTTTCATAGTGCATTGAGCATTTTTTAAAGATTTATTGCCTAAAAAAACAAATATTCTTCATATGCCCCCTTAAGCTATTTGTGTGTTGTTGTTGTGTTTCTATATTTTTATTTTAGAGAGTGTAAATACATTTTATCATCTGCTTTTTATTTTCTTTCTTAGGTATCAGAAGGAGTACTGTGAGTTTAAGAGACAGCAGCTGGAGTTGGATGATGATCTTAAAAGCGTGGACAATCAGATGCGTTACTGTCAGATTCAACTTGACAAACTCAAGAAGACCAACGTTTTCAATGCGACCTTTCATATCTGGTTTCACATCTCTTTATATATATTTTTATTGTATATAATAACTAAAGCTAATACTCCTATGAAGTAAAATTTTTAATACATTTTTCTTTCTCTACACATTTTCCAGGCATAGTGGGCAGTTTGGAACAATAAATAACTTCCGCCTTGGCAGATTACCCAGCGTACCAGTGGAATGGAATGAGATTAATGCAGCCTGGGGTCAAACTGTTCTTCTGTTGCATGCACTTGCCAGCAAGATGGGGCTATGCTTTCAGAGGTGCTTAGAAAAAAAACTACACATAACATTTGCTGTTAAAATGTGCTATGTAAAAGAGTCATAGCCATTTAAATACTCTTTTATTTATTATTATTATTTTAATGGTACTTAAGTTGCACTTAAGTATTAAAGTATTTTTTCTACAAAAAGATCAATTTGCAAAAATGTATAATGGGCTTTTAGAAAGTTAGTTAGAGGGAGAGAGAAAGCGCAACTGAATTTGAAATTTCAGACATGTTTGTTAAGGCGTACACAGTGAAAATTCTGATAGTTGGAAGATTGTATGTGCACACACATCACTAGTGAGTTAATGAGAAAATAGTTTGGATGCAAATGATATATAACAAAATTGTATGACCTGCGAAATAGCAAGAAATTACACAAATACATGGACAAAGTAAAATGTGAATTCATTGCTTTTCAAAGCGTCTCTCAGAGCCGTACATGCCATAGTACAGAATATATACATACATATATATATATATATATATATATATATATATATATATATATATATATACATACATACACACACACACACACACACACACACACACACACACACGCATAAAGATAGGTCCATAAATATTTGGTGGCAATTACACAATTCTAACATTCTTGGCTCTATACACCAACACAAGCTTTTATTTGAGGGTATTTACATCCAAATCAGGTGAACGCTGTAGGAATAACAACAGTTTGCTTATGTTCCTCCCACTTGTTAAGGATCCAGATGTAATTTGACAATTGGCTGCTAAGCTGTTCTATGGCCAGGTGTGTTATTCCCGTGTTATCCCAATTTTATGAAGCAGATAAAAAGGTCCAGAGTTTATTTCAAGTGTGCTATTAACATTTGGAATATGTTACTGTCAACTTATTAATCAAGCAAGCCATCATTAGGCTAAAAAAAATAAACAAATCCATCAGAAAGATACCAAAAACATTAGGCATGGCCAAAACAACAAGCAACAGTGAGCTCAGAAACACCAAAATACCCGGAAGACCACAGCAACCAACTGTGGTGGATGACTGAAAGATTTTTGCCCCAGTGAAGAAAACAGCTTTCACAACAGTTGGCCAGATCAAGAGCACTCTCCAGGAGGTAGGTGTATGTGTGTCAGAGTCAACAATCAAGAGAAGACGACACCCGATGTGAATACAGAGGGTTCACCAAGAGATGTAAACCACTGGTGAGCCTCACAAACAAGAAGACCAGATTACAATTCTAAAAAAGACTTTACAGTGCTGGAACAAACATCCTGTGGACAGATGAGATCAAGATCACCCTAAACAAGTGGGAGGCACATTTGCAAACTGTTGTAATTCCTAAAGCGTTCACCTGATTTGGACGTAAATACCTCAACTTAAAGCTGTTAAACAGGTAAAACGCATCTTGTTTATTTTATATCAATTGCGTTGGTGTATAGAACCAAAAATGTTACATTTGTGTCAATGTCCAATTTTTTATGGACCTAACTGTATGTATATATATATATACACAATATAGATTTATATTCAAATTAACTTTATCTTCATTTAACTGGCCAGCAAATAGGGATATAAATCTTTATACCAGGATGATCAAACACGTCTATTGATTTTATTTTATGTACATAACCTATGTTTATCATGCCCATATTCCACCATTTTATGTAGCGAACTAGCCGATATAATTATAAATATTAATAGTTAATAAAAAACAAGTTATTTAAAATGAATAGTTAGATTATAATACAGTTATAAGTTAATCGATTTGTACAACCTCCAGCATTATCTGAGTTAAAGTAACTTGTTTTGTGTGTGAAAACAAACAATTTAATAATGATTGCAAAAATGTGCAGACACTAAATCTGTTTACAAAACCATGTACTCAAGAGGAAGAGAGAAAGAGAGAGTGAGAGAATGAGTGTGCGCAAGTGAGAGAGTTATACAGAAGGAGTTTGCATGGCTGTTGTAACAGTTTTAAACATAGTTGAAATATCATCTAAAGATGATGTATGTCTGTTACATCTAAACAGATTGAACAAAAATAGAAGAGGTAGTTCTGGAAGTGGAAAGCAAAGTTTAGAGAGTTCTTTGATTCAAAGCATGTTTGGCAGAAAAACAAAGGTATCTTTGTAGCTTTGTGGGTTCTCTCCCAGTGAGTGGAACATAGTTGATGTGCCTTTTAAGACATACGTAACTCAAAGTTTATGAGAAGTCACTTGTCCACAAGGAATGTAGGGATTTATGAGATAACAGGCCCTAGTTTGGACAGTTTGTTGAGTTTAAGAATCAGAGGGGATATTTAGCGAATGTTTGCTTGGTGTAAAAAATTATTCTGTTTGATCCTCATCTTTTTAGTATTTAATTCCCCTCTTTTGCAAGCTGTTGTCTTTTCTTTAGAGAAAGGTGAGCAAAGGCATTTAGGTAGAAGATCAGACACATCTCTGAAATGAAAATTATGAAGTTATTGATGTCTCCCTGAAGGTTGGGTCTTGGGGAAGGATGTTTACAAGGTAGCTTAGGGCCTACTCACACTATGTTCTATGAACCATGCCCGGGCCCGTTTCCCAGATCGTTTGAGAAATATCTGACTGTGTGTCACTGCATCCTTAAGGACTGTTGCCGAAATATTTGACTTCATGTCACTGCATATCAGACTGAAACGATATATCTAGAGAAATCTCCTCTGTGCTGCTGAGTGAGAGCGCTTTTCACTGAACAGCGCAGCATCGATGACGTAAGCTTGCCGAGGCCCGATTGTAGTGCGAGTCTGGGCCGTCGGGGGAGACGGGAGGGGGGACAAGCGTGCTTTGGCCCGGTTCAAGGAAACTGTACCTAGTGTGAGTACGGCCTTAGGCTGTATCGTGGCTTTGGTGATTTACGATTGAATCAGATGAATTGGAATACCTGAGCATCCAGGACTGTTTCTTGGATGCTGGGTCAGTGTTGGCTGGGTGAGTAAAAGTATGGCCCAAGTGTGAAAGTCACCTGTTTCCCACACTTGTGGTGTAAGTGTTGGTGTTTGGGGTGCAAGGCCAAGACTTGGCAGTGTTGCTTGTGGGCTGGGCCCAGAGTCACCCCTGTAGTGAGTTGGAAACATTTGCTTGCTCGGACCGCTACACACATTAGAGTCTGTGAATGTTGCTAACTTGATGGTGTGAAGGCCATCTGTTCTACTTGGGGTGTGCTGTGTAGCACGTTGGCACTGCTTGATGCACAGGATGAGATGGTCTTACTCTTAGTTGTCCAGGCACCCTCTCATGTCTAGTTAGATTTCTTGTTGCATGCTGGCTTTAGATATTTTCTGTTTTAGGGGCTCTGGCAAGGTGGAGGGAGGATGCCTGGCTCCCTCCAATTCACTAATCTTGTTTACAATACAATTCACTTAATAGGGCCCAAGCATTGAAGGTGCACTGCCCCCTAGTGGTCTGGAGATGCAAAATATTTAAATGTAATGTACATGTTATAACAATAAAAATGCCAATAATTTTTGAGTAATTTAGCCTATTGTTATGATACTTATCTTGGTACATTCGTTGAATTGTCCTGAGAATATTTATACTAAGTATGCCTTAATTAACTAAACTTCCTGTCTGCCATTTAGTCCATTTCTTGTTTCTCTTTCCACTCAGAAATGACAAGCAATGTTAAACTTTTAACTCAGATTTGGTCCTAGTTTCAGTAGCTCAGAAATTCTCTGTGTTATTGTTGTGAATAATATGGAATTACAAAACTACAATTTACTAATTTGGGAATCAAAAAACCTTTGCCAAAATAAAGATGATTTAGGACTTAATGGCTATTAAAACTTAAATCACATCACAAATTCCTCATTCAAAATTAATACCAAGTATGTGAGCAGGAACAATAAAATCAATTTAGAGGGATCGACTTTTGTTTTGCAACTGATTACTATGTAAATTTGATGAGTGATTTAGTTTCCTGCTAAACCTATCTCTATTGCAATTTTCTTAGTGCATAAACATTGTGTTGATAAAACAGAAGGCTCAATTTCAATCTAAGTCAGCCTCACACAGGGCACCAAATCATGTTGTGTTATTTTGTATTTATCACAAATATTAACATAAGTAATTTATTGTATGTATTGATATGTAAAATGTATTAATATTTTATATTGAGATGCTTGCCTTACACGTGACACCAAATAATGTAGTGATATTTTATTTGGCGTGACTTGATTTTAATCACTCCTCATTCATTTAATAAATAACTCCTTTTAAATTAGGCACCAGCTATATTTTTCACTGTGGCAATAATTAACAATCAAAAATTGTTTTTCACTATTTGTTTTGTTTGTCACTTTTACTATTATTCTGAAATAATATTTAAGTAATTATATTGTGACTTTAGTTATCCATCTTGTTAGGATAGCATTACAATTATCAGAGGTCACGCCTCACCATAAATGTTTCATATGAATAAATGCTGCAGCCAGCTGAAGTGTTACTTTTCCCCTTTTTTAAGATTATCAGTTAACTGATCTAATAATCATTTGGCTTTTTATCAGTACATGGTGGCCAATGTGCAGGTGTGAAAAGTACTCTGTTAACTGATGGCAATACATTGTGTGCACACAACATCATTTCCAACTCATTTTCAAGTTTGATTAATGCATGATTACTAATATTTTATTTTATTATTATGATTTATTTATTTATTTTATCATTATTATTATATATATATATATATTTTTTTTTTTTTTCAGATACCAATTAGTTCCGTATGGAAATCATTCCTACTTGGAGTCTCTCAGTGATAAGTCCAAGGTGGGTCTCATATCGAAAATTACATTGAAATAAAATGTAATTAAATTTCCAGAACTGCAGTAGTTACCATTAAAATGTAATGTATGTCTTACTTTAATACATTTTTTGGAGCTTTTATAAATGTTACTTTCATACTAAGGTTTTCAGTTTAACATTTTATGATATAAAATTTACAGAATATTTTCATGGCCTAATGTGTGAAAGATCATGAAAATTGAGTTCCTCATCAGGACGCGAACTCCGATGTGTGTCTAGTAGAGACATTATTGGGAGACTGCTAGAAAGAAACCAGCCAATGAATACCTATATATCGGCAAAGCACAGCTCCATCAGGTGCTTGCGATAATCATGAGTATTGTAACAAAGTTGTTGGCCATTTGGTGAAGAACCGACAAACTTTAAAATAATTTAAAATGAGAAAGTCCTTGAATCTGGAATACATGGTCTACCACCACCTAAGCAGTCTCCTTGGCTGAGAGGAGCTTGGGAAGGGAAATTAAATGGGATGCTTTAAGAATCGGTCCAGCATCATAAGGATGACAGTGTTACCCCTCAATTTGTGTAATGCAGTGACAGTCAAGGGCTAAATGTGACTAAGGGTGGGAAGGGATGGATAGGAGATGAAGCAGACCAGTAGGAGGTGAACTGGAACTCCTGTTCTGGGCGCAAACTGAGAAGGCTACCACAAACTGCCTGACATCCCTGGCCATGGATGGCCATCAAACCCGCTGATGGATGGCAGCCAGCGATCTCCAAACTCATGGATGACAGACCATTCTGGATGAATGTCCCCACTGGATAACCTGAGAGCGCAGAGCAGTAGAAATGATTGAACTTGCCCACTGGAATACCTCTAGATGCTTGGCACTTTTGCAAGGCCTCTTGTACATGTCTCTTAATATCCAAAGAGAAAACATAGCTCCTTGAAGAGTTCAAAGGCTGAAGACATGAGAGGGAAGGATTGCCTGTTTTTAACAGTAAGTTTTAGTGACGCTATTCAGCCCTTGATAGTCAATACAGGGTTGAAGGTAGCCATCCCTTTTCTTAACGAAGAAGAACCCAGCACCAGCAGGAGATGAGGAAGGGCAGATGAGGCCAGCTTTAAAAGATTTATTAATATACTTGTTCATAGCTTCTTTCTGTACTGGAATGGGAATACAAGCGGCCCTTAGGTGGAGAAGTGCCTTGGAGAAGCTCTATGGCACAATTTTAGTGTTGATGCAGGTGCAAGGACATTATTTGGGACATGCTGAACACCAGAGACAGATCATGCTATTTCGTTGGGACCCCAGTCAGATCATCTGGCTCCACCTGCAACACCGAAGAAACAGAACCAGGAAACGGGGCAGGACCAAGACAAGACTTAAGACAGTATTGACTCCAAGACAAAACAAAGTTTCTGAACTAATCCGTGTGAGAGTCATGCTGCACCAACAAAGGATATCCTAAAACTATGAGAGCACTATGAGAGTATAAAAGGTACAGTCTAAAAGTCACCCCTTGGTGATTGCTGGAGACAACTAGACTTACACTGGGGGAAGTGTGGAAGACTGTGGCAATCAGGGTGCCTTCTAGGGATCAGGCTGTGATAGGTTCAGGGAGAGGAATGGCAGGAATTTGCTTGCATGGGTTCAGGGTCTGACAGAGGGGCAGAAACAGAGAGTGAACCATGGTCATCCATCCTGACCGAGGAACAGGCCAGCTTACGGTGGTGTCAGTGGCGGAGACGAACCTTGATGCAAAGTGTCAGGTTGATAAGGTCATCAAAGTCACGTGGCAAATCATGGATTGCAAGTTCATCCTGAATGTCCTCCGTCAAACCAGCTTGGTTAATCAACTGGCAAGTTCCCTAATTCTAGTCGCACAAGGTTTCCATCAGGTCAGCTACCTGATTCACCAGAAACTATATTTCTACAGTGGTATTGGTAATTCTGTTCTCAAGCTGACCAAAATGACTCCCTGTTGAGCCAATGCAGATCTGACAGGGTCTGCTCCTGCTGTGTACATCTTCATCAGATCGTTTTGTCAGGTTCTGGTCAAGATTAACAGATTGGATACAATTGCAGGTCATTAACAATTTATTAGCAGTTAGCAGAAGTGCAGTCTTAGAGGGAACAGTACATTTAAAAAAAAAAAAGTCTTAAAATGCTTTCAACAAAAACTGCTCCGAAGTGGGAACAAATTTATAGATGCTCAGTAGCACCCAGTGGATAAGAGGGAAAATAATAATGATAAAGAAACTCCAGAGAGAAAATTCTCCATAGAGGGAACAGACACAGAAGACTACAGTATGTATAAAAAAGGAATAGGCAAAAAATAGTATGTAAAACCGTAAAAAAAACAAGAAGCCAAGAAACAGAAACATCTTTGTAGAAGGAATAGAGTCTTATCATAGAGGTGTAATTACAATGACACCCAACAGAGGGCAATACTGCAAAATGCAGTATCCTGGGTCGATACACCCGCGAGCAAGATTGAGCACTTCAGGGCAGGCATAGGCTGGAAGATGGCTCACTGGACTTGAGAAATGACAATCTCTATTGCCACTCTTACAGGTAAGCTTAAACAAAAGGCCAGACTTAAGTGTTAACTCTGCAGCCTTTGTTCATATTAGAACAAAATTTCCACAACTGAATTTCCACAAGTTCCTGACTTTACTGCTGATCACTACAGCAGGTTCGTAAACCGGACCTCAGTTGCTTTGGCAAATCAATTGCATAGAACTGTTGGCAGTGTTTCTTGCTCTCCACCTGTTCCTACGGTGCTAGAATACGGTGCTCGCTTGGACAGATAGCATGGCTACAGTAGTGTATATCAACCGTATAGGCGTATTTTCCCCAATGAGCCTGCTTGCACAGACCCTGTTCTGGGTCAGGGATGATGAGGAACAGGTCTTGCTTGTTGCGCCTCCATGAGTTTCCAAACTCGCATTCCTCACAAATGGACTTTCTTTGACAAATTCCCCTTAGGAAGCACTTCCTTTCTCAAGCATAGGCACCATCTGGCACCAGCACGAGTTTCCAGAACCCCCATGATATGTTTCTATAAGGAGCACAGAAACTTGGTGACCTACCCGTGTAAGTGGTTAACACTATTAAGCCTGGTTTATACGTCTGTGTCAAGTGACCGGCGTGACCCACGGCGCATGCAACTCGCGTAGCTGTGCATTTATACTTCTGCATGCTTTCTCTGTTGGTCTAAATTAACACTTCCGAAACGCTAGTGGGCAGTGGTGTAAATGTTCCTCTTTGTCGAGTTTCATCTCTGCTGTTTTGCTTTTCCTAAACACTTCCGGGATGTACAAGCGGCTCAATCTCGCTCATTCAACTTTAACTATTAGATAAAAACAAAACAAAACTTTCCATCAGGAGCTCCTTCACGGGACTCCACACTTGTTGTTGACCAATCACAGAGCTTGCGCTACGCGTCGTTGCCACGTGTAGTTACAATTTTTAAGAGGTGCACGTCAACAATGCCGATGGCCACGGCGAAAGGCTATGCATCAGCGAAGTATCATATGCCGGCGTTTGATGCAGAAGTATAAATCAGCCTTTACTCAGGCTACAGCACCCTCCACAAGTCATGCCTTGTTCTTAAGTGGTGTGCTTCTCGCAGAGATGAACCCTGAACATGTCAGATCAGTGTGATCCCTCAGTTTGCTGGAGTGGGGGCTGTCACCCTTTTTGTGTCTCACTGTAGCCCCAGTAGTCTGCAGCAAGGTCTTTTCGAACCACTTGATTCAGTATCTTTAAAATTTCTGGTAATGAACACAGCTCTGCTGATTGCATTGGCATCGATCAGCAAGGTCAGCAATACGGAGGCTGGGAATTTAGGCCTTAAATTTTGTTAATTTAAGAGTTAATTTTATCCTCTGTTCACACTATGCACATGTCTCCGTTTCCTCTTTCTTGGAAAGTGGATTATGGACATAATCAGCACAATTTCTCATGTCATGATGTTCCCGACTATCTTGACAGTCTATTTTGGTAGTGTTTAAATTGATTTTAACAATTAGGTTAACAATAAAACTGAAGCCTTTTTTATGTAAGTATAGCCTAAATGAATTGGATGTGCACAATTGTCTCACAGCAAGAAGGTCACTGGTTCGAGCCCCGGCTTGGTCAGATGGCATTTCTGTGTGGAGTTTGCACGTTTTTCCTTGGTCGTGTGGATTTCCTCTGGGTGCTCCGTTTTCCCCCTCAAGTCCAAAGACATGCGGTATAGGTGAATTGGTTAAGCTAAATTGGCCGTAATGCATGTGTGATAATGAGAGTGTATAGGTGTTTCCCAGTGATGGGTTGCAGCTGGAAGGGCATTTGCTGCTTAAAACACATGCTGGATAAGTTGGTGGTTCATTCCGCTGTGGCGACCCCTGATGAAGGGGTCTAAGCCGAATACAAAATGAATGAATTTATTGCATTTTAAGATAGTTTACAACTGTTTTAGATTGATTGTATTGATTTCTATTATCATTTATTAATTAATTTATTTTTTTTTTTTATTGTTTTTTGTTTTGTTTTTTTGTTGTAGGAATTGCCATTGTATTGTTCAGGTGGTCTGCGTTTTTTCTGGGATAATAAATTTGATCATGCAATGGTGGCTTTCCTTGACTGTGTCCAGCAATTTAAAGAGGAGGTGGAGAAGGATGACACTGGCTTCTGTTTGCCATACAGGTGAGAATATTTTGAAAACAAATATAATAACAAAAATAGCAGATCACTTTAGTTTACCTGAAAAAAGGACAGGCCATATTAATCAAGCCATAGATGGACAAATTATTCTGCAGATATGTGGTGATTTTAAGATAATTGTCATTTACTGATATCTATGACAGAGTTAAAAAAAAAAAAAAGTCCTTTAAAAGCAGTATTTTTCTTTGTTTATTTGTGCACTTGAAATTCTCTTTGTCTTTTGTAATTAGAATGGATGTGGACAAAGGAAAGATTGAGGACACAGGAGGAAGTGGAGGGTCTTACTCTATTAAGACTCAGTTTAACTCCGAGGAACAGTGGACCAAAGCTCTCAAGTTCATGCTCACTAACCTGAAGTGGGGTTTAGCCTGGGTTTCATCTCAGTTTTACAACCGATAGATTTGGCTTGACTCAGACCTAATGACTAAAAGAAAGCACATGAAATCTTCACCTTACAATGATGGATGTTTTTACTCTCAAATTTAAACCACAATATTTTTGTTAGAAAACAGAAATTGAGTATTTGAAAACAGAAAATTGTATTCAGTTAAAAAACAGTAAAATTAATTTTTGTTTATATTTCAACAGGTAAAGCTATCCAAAATGTAATGATGTAGTGGAAATATGTTTGTCTTGTTTTTTTTTTTTGTTTTGTTTTTTTTTTTTTTTTGTGTTTTAACCTTTACCTTATTATTTTTCTAATTTGGATCTCCCTATGAGTTCCATAAAACTATAAAAGCTGTGGGTTTGTGGTGGTTATATGTAGTACATATGCTGTAGTATATATGTTTAGGTTTACTAACAACTTGTTTACAAAGGGCTAAGTAGCCAATTGCAGGATTATGCCATTTCAGTTTTGAATTAGAAATTAGTCAAAGTCAGAAACATCATAAGCAATTAAAATATTTGTGTAAAAAATGTAAATAAAAAAATGTATGTCTATATTTATCAAGTATTCCTCATTTTTCTGCCTTATTTTAAATTAGGAAAAATGTAATCAGTAGTTTACAGCATAATACAAAAATATATGATTTACTGAATTTTTTTTTTCATTTAGAGCATTTTCTGAATAAAATAAAAATAACAATGTTTTAAGACATGTTTAAATACACATTTTTATATTAGACAATAAAATACTTTCTGGGAAAAAGCCTCTAGTTACAATATTTGAATTTTAAATGATTATCTTACTGGCTCCTTGTTTGCTGTCGCAGAAAGAAGGTTGAGTCCTGGCTGGACCGAGAGGTCTTTCAGTGTGGAGTTTGCATGTTCTTTTCATGTCTGTTTGAGTTTCCTCTGGGTGCATCAGTTTCCTTCACAGTCTAAAGAAATGTGGTACAGGTGAATTGGATAAACTAAATTGGCTGTAGTGCAGGGTTTACAATTAGTTTGGCATGGGATAGGGGGCAGTACATGAAACGCATCCCAAATGAAGGGCTGAAGAGATAATCTATGACTTGCAATATAAGTGATGACACAACTGCATTTTGCTTCTTAAGACACCCACGTTGGCTTTTTCTAGATTGAAATTTTAACACTGTATGTTGTATTTTAAACTACATAATATCAGTGCATTTTAAATATGGCCTTTTTCTACAAACATGTTAAATGTTGTATTGCAAAGCACAAAAAAAGCAGTGCATTGCTTAACTAGGCTTTTTGCACATTAATTTGAATTACATAACAATTAGGGATGCAAAGATTGTAGATTTTGGTTGAATGATTATAGTCTAAAGAATAGTCATGGTTTCACGATTATCACATCTAATGTAAATTTAAGCTTTATATTAGCTAAGCAGTTAACTGTTGTTAACATCTGCATTCATACATACATAATCATTTTAATAATATTTTATCTAACATATCAATTGAATAGCCCTGCTGTAGTGTATGAGTTTGTGTGAATGAGATGTATGTTTATTTAGTGTATGGGTGTTCCCCAGCTGGATAATTTAAACTTTAATACTTTTTTCATGATTTAATCATTAAAAGCATAATTGGTTGTTTTTAAATATAATTTAGAATAACTACACACTATGAATCATTTACTAAGCATTAGCATCTAGTGAATTCAATATTTGTTAATCATTAACTCTACATTAATAAACGTTAGTAAGCAGTTTATAACTGCAGCAACAAATGCTGTATTCTTGACTTATTAGCACTTATTTAATGGGCTTAATAATTTTATTTTCATACTTAGTTAATGGTTTGTTTTTCATTACTAAATTAAGTAACACATCATTTACAAACCATTTGTATTTAAGAGTAGTTGAGGGTTTTTAGGATCATTCAGAATGAGTTAGTAAATAATTAATAAACTATTGAAATCAACATTTATATATCTTATTATTAGGCATGTACTAATAGTTAACTAATATGTCAATATTAGTAATATAATATTTTAACAATAAATAAGATGCAATGTTTAAACTTTACAGTGATTTTATTTTAGATAAGGATGCAAATATTTATTTTTCATTTGAAGTACAGTTTCATTTGTGTATCTTTAAATAAATAGGAATGGATAATGTCATTTTTCCTGTTTAGAATTTAACTGAGCTTTTATTTGTCATTTATAAGCGATTTATAAAGCTTAAATAGTCCTCACTTTAGATTAGGTCACAAATCTAAATGAAGTTGAGTTAATAAAGCATTTATTAGCATACATAGTTACCATAAATATATGTCTAAATAATAAGACATATAAATGTTAATTTGAATAGTTTAATTATCATTTACTAACTCATTCGAAATGACCCTAAAACCCCTCAACTACTCTTAAATACAAATGGTTTGTAAATAATGTGATACTTAATTTAGTAATGAAAAATAAATCATTAACAAAGTATGAAAGTACAATTATTAAGCACATTTTAAATATGTTTGTAAGTCAAGAATACAGCATTTGTAGCTGTAGTTATAAACTGCTTACTAACGGTTATTAATGTAGAGTTAATGCTTAACAGATAATGAACTCACTATTTGCTAATCCTTAATAAATAATTTATAGTGTGTAGTTATTATAAAGTGTTACCGAATATTCTGTCTGTCATGTAGCTAATAGAAAGGAGGCTGAGGGCAGTCTAACTGCTTGGGGTCAACCAATAACCCGAGGAGCTGCTCTGTCCCTTAGTAAAAACTAATCAGTGCTTGAATTATTGGACCTCAAACCACACAATCTCTCACGCTTGTATGTGATTGTCAGGTACCTTTAGTTGCTTTTTATACTTTTTGTTTTGCACGAAGATAAGGTTTCTTCTGCCTCAGCTAACAAACAATGTAAGAATTTGTCTGCACTTTTCCATATTTGATTTTCACTATTGTATCACAAAAAAATCTTTTATTTATTTATTTCAAATCTAAATAAGCTGTATAAGGCCAATCTTCAAAGACAAATAAAGTCATATGGAGATGGTAATTGTGCTGTTTAAAGAAAACAATAGCTATTAAAAGGCTAAACTTGAAATAGAAACAATGAATCATTTTCAGAGAAATGTATAGGAAGAAAATATGAAAAGTTTGTGTATAAAGCCATGTAAAGTAAGGATCATTAATTTGAGTTCAGGAAACTACTGTAGTGCCCAGTAATAATTAAAGCTTATAATACAAAAAGTAAAAATAAGACATTGTATGAAGCAAAATGTATCTTATTGAAATGTGTGTCTAATGAGGACTCCCTGAAAATTCTGGCATTATTGTAACGTTCAAAAATAAGAGTCCAAGAGGATCCAGATGCGAGTGATAAGGTTTATTTGACCAAGTCAAAATAAACAAACAATGAAAGTGACAGGCTTGGAGGACGACGAACACAAGGCAGGAACAGACAGGAAAACAGGGTCCAGAAAATACTCCTCAGGGGCCAGAGCACAGATAACACACATAAGAACAGGTGTAACGAACTGACAAAGAAACATAGAAACGTCGCCCTGATATAGGGCTAATAATGAGCTTCAGCTGGCGTGTAATCAGCCCAACTGAGTGTCGTCATATCACGTGAACATAACAAATACAAATGGACAACCAAAACAAAACAAACCCACGTGATCAAACATACACTCCGGAAAAGCGCACAAACCTGCAACCGTGACATTACCCCTCTCCTAAGAGCACCTCCTGGTGCTCCCAGAAGAGCTTACCTGGCGATTGTAATCATCAATAAGAGAGTGATCCAATATGTCCTTTGCAGGGACCCAACTCCTCTCCTCCGCACCATAACCTTCTCAGTCCACCAAGTACTGAAATCCTCGCCCCCTCCGTCTCGAGTCCAGAATACGCTTAACCGAATAAACGGTCTCTCCATCTACGAGACGCGGTGGGGGGGTTAATTGCTGTATGAAAAACGGGCTTTAATTTGGAAACATGAAACACGGGTTGTATTCTCCTATACGCTGGAGGAAGTTTAAGGCGGACTGCCACCGGACTAATAATCTTGATGACAGTGAATGGGCCAATGAATTTAGGTGCAAGTTTATTACATACGGAACGCAAGGGGATATTCTTAGTTGAAAGCCACACTTTTTGACCGACGACGTAAATGGGAGGCTTCGACTGGTGGCGATCGGCTTTAGCCTTAGTGTGCGCACCCACTTGGAGGAGGGTCTGTCTGGCCCTGCTCCAAGTGCGTCGACACCTCTGGACAAAGGCGTGGGCGGAGGGGACCGCGATTTCGGATTCCAGACTGGGAAAAGCTGGTGGCTGGTAACCTAGGATACACTGAAAAGGAGAGAGGCCCGTAGCCGACACTGGTAATGTGTGCGTACTCCACCCATGGGAGCCGCTGACTCCAAGAGGAGGGATTTTGGGAAACCAAACAACGTAACATGCGTTCGAGATCTTGGTTGGCCCTCTCTGTTTGTCCGTTACTCTGAGGATGGAAACCAGAAGAAAGACTTACAGTCGCTCCCAATGAATGGCAAAATTCTCTCCAAAATTTAGAGACAAACTGGGGTCCCCTGTCAGAAACCACATCCGTCGGGAGGCCATGAATGCGAAAGACGTGATTAATGACAGCATCCGCTGTCTCTCTGGCTGAGGGTAATTTGGGCAGAGGAATGAAATGAGTAGCCTTCGAGAACCGGTCCACAACGGTCAAAACAGCCGTATTGCCACTGGATTGCGGGAGACCAGTGACAAAATCTAGCGAAATGTGCGACCAGGGTCTCGAAGGCTGAAAGAGTCCAGCTGGAGGGCGATTAGAAGTCTTAGAAACAGCACAAACAGAACAGGCCAAAACAAACTCGCGTATGTCCCATGCCATAGCTGGCCACCAAAATCACTGTTTAACCAAAAATAAGGTACGACTCACCCCCGGATGACAAGCCACTTTGGAGGAATGTCCCCACCGAATGACGTCAGACCGAATCTCCTCCGGCACAAACAAACGACTGGGTGGGCATCCGGCCGGGTGCGTTACCCCCTCCAGGGCTGTGCGGACCCTGCTCTCGATCTCCCATGTCACCGCAGAAATACAATTGCTCTGGGGAACGATGGGCTCAGGGGACGGATTGTGCTCGGAAGAATCAAAAAGACGGGATAACGCGTCGGGTTTGGTGTTTTTGGAACCCGGCCGATAAGAAATGGTAAAGTCAAAACGTCCGAAGAATAATGCCCACCGAGCCTGCCTGGAGTTAAGTCGTTTGGCGGACCTGATGTATTCGAGGTTCTTATGATCGGTCCAAACGATAAAGGGAACCCCCGAACCCTCCAACCAGTGACGCCATTCCTCCAATGCGAGTTTGACAGCCAACAACTCCCGATTACCAATGTCGTAATTACGTTCTGCGGGAGATAATCGATGTGAGAAAAACGCGCACGGATGAATTCTGTCATCCGAGGTGGCGCGCTGGGACAGGATAGCGCCCACCCCCACCTCTGATGCGTCAACCTCCACCACGAACTGCCGTGAGGGATCAGGTGTCACCAGAATGGGGGCTGTAACAAA